ATAAAAATACAATAATTACTGTAGAAAATTCTGGTACAATGCACTACAGTGTATAAAGGCTTATCTCTTTTTATGCTAATAAACTCAGTTTCTCCTCTGGTTTCGGCTGATCTAACTTATCTCCATCTTCTCCTTCAATAGTTCTGCTTAAAATGTCTTAGAATATACATGTCTGTGTACCCACACACACTCATACACTCACACACATACATACACAGTCACACATGTGCATGCATGCACATACATACATGCCCTCACACACAAGCACACACATGCACTCACACACATACACAGTCACACTCATACACACACGTACACACTACATACACACTCACACGTGCACTCACACACATGCACACACTCATGCACACATGTACTCACACATGTATGCACTCACACTCACATACACACATACATGCTACATACCTACACACTCACATGCACTCACACACGCACTTGCACCATGCACTCACACATGCACTCATACATACATGCACTCATGCATGCACACTCATACACACATGCATTCACAGATGCACACACTCATGCACTCGCACACATTCACTCACACACTCATACAGTGCTCACACACACAGTGCTCACACACTTGCTCACACACTCACATACATGCACACTCACAAACATGCACACTCATACATGCTCACACACACATACAATATACATTCACACACATGCTCACACACATACTCACACACACATTCACACATATGCTCACACACACCCAAACATGCACACACACAATGCTCACACACACACATGCTCACATACACTCACACACATGCTCTCACACACATACGCCTGCAATCACAACACACACTCACATGTAGTCACACATGCTCACACACATGCTTACATACATGCTCATACACACACACCCACGCACACACATGCTCACACACACACACACTCCTGCCTGGGCCCCTCCTGGAGACCTGCAGCAGCAGCTGTCTCAGGAGTAAGAACATCGCTGACCCAGGCTCACCCCTTCACTGTGGTAGCAGCAGGCTGCTCAAGGAGAACAGCCGTGTGCTAAGCCTGTGGCTGTAACACTCTCACCATAAGCACATGTGGGGGACACCAAGGACACCTCTCCCAGACTGCCACCCTCAACCAAGGAGAGCAGCAGGCCAAGCACACACCGAGGACGGCATACACGTCAAACGCCCACCCGTGCAGGACGCTGCAGGTGTTCCGAAGGTACCGTGAACAGGACTGCTCACCACGGAAGAGAAGCCTGTGATCAGAATGTCAGCGGGAGGCAGCGAGCAACGGTGCCCGCTGCTGTCACCCTGACCCCCACCAAAGAAACCTCACCGACAAGCCGATCCAACCAAGTCACCCCAGAGCTGTACGTCACAGTACATGGCTGTGCCCCATTTGGGAACACGCCCCAGTTAGAGCATTCCGATGCAGAGAAACTGATACGGACGGGTAGCTTTCTCTATACGCGCGCGCATGCACACACACACACACATTTTCCTCTGCTGGCTCATGACAGTGTGTAAGGAACCCTGCAGCTGTGTGTGTGTTTATATACGTATGCATGTATATATATAAACGTACACACATACAAATACATACACCTACGCAAACACATCCACCCACCCTCAGAGCGCTCTTACAAATAGACTGTGTGACTCAGCAGAAGGTGATGGTTAGCCACTGAGGATACACAAACAAAGCAACAAGAAGCTCGCAAGTCAGCTGAGCAAACTGAAGTGAAACCAGGATTTTGCTTCTCTGTCTGCTCTTGCCTTTTAATCAGACGCACGGACACTTCCCAGCAACACTCAGGCCGCCGCACAAGCTGCTCGTGCACAGCCAGCTGATTTCGGTAAAGGCACGCGTGTCCGTGTGCCGTCTGGCACGTGACATGCCCTCGCTGGAGGCAGATGAGCGCGTACACGCTTGTTAGTTTGTGTGTGCACGAGGGTCCTGGGCGGCCCAGCCTGGGTCTGCTGTGGAGCGTGACGGGCGGCCCCTCACAGGATCCTGCCCTCTCAGTGACACCCAGGGCAGATTAGTGAAGATTCCAGGGGAGACCAGAGGGAGGATGGAGAAGGCAGAAAGTGCGAGGCCCTTAATAAAAACCAGGACAGCAATGTTGGTCTACATCCAGGTCTGTGCTCTTAGACTGTAAACTAGAGAGTGTTACGGATTGAATTGTGTCCGCCCAAAATATGTGCTGGGATCCGAGCCTCTAGATCTGTGGATGAGATCCCCTTTGGGAAGAGGATTTTCTTTGTTATGTTAATGAGGCCACGTCAGCGTGTGCTACACCTAATCGCTCCTGAGTTGTGAAAGGAGTGGATGAGACATAGAGACAAGCATGCCCAAATGGCAGGAGGTGGGGACGGAGAAGATGCCACCCAGAGATTGCCAAGAAGCCGAGGAGCGTGGGGTTCCAGAAGCTGAGACGAGGACCTCCCCCCAGAGCCCAGAGGGACAGAGCCTTCCCCTAGAGCCGGAGCCCTGAATTCAAACTTCTAGCCTCCTGAACTGTGAGAAAATATATGCACGTTCTTTAAAGCCCCTCACTTGTGGTATTTTTGTTACAACAAAACTAGGACACTAGATGGAGACCATTTATAAGCATCTTTGAACATTTTTTAGAGGTTTTTTTTTTTCCCTAAATTTTATTCATTTGTTGTTGTTGCTGAGAATATAAACAGCAAAACATACAAGCAATTCAACAGTTTCTACATGTGCGGTTCAGTGACACCGACTGCGTTCTTGCAGTTGTGCGAGCATTCTCACCCTGCTTTTCTGAGGTGTTCCTCTCTCACTCATGTAAACTCACAGCCCCCTTAGGTTCTTGTCTAATCTTTCGAGTTGCTGTTGTCACTTGGATCCCATATAGATAGTTCTTAAATCACATTGATTAAGGGTAGGGTTGCACTGCTGATTATGGGGATTGCTGTCAATAAGTTGTACACCAGCAAAAAGTTGAACTGGCAAAAGTTGTGTGATAGATATCGCATTGCTGTTGAGTATCTCTTGACTCACAGTGACCCTGTAAGACAGGGTAGAACTTCCCCATAGGGTTTCCGAGGCTATAAATGTTTATGGGAGCAGACTGTCACATCTTTCTCCCATGGAGTGGCTGGTGGGTTCGAACAGCTGACCTTTCGGTTAGCAGCCTAGTGCTTAACCACTGCCTCACCAGGGCTCCACCACATACCCATACACACCTCTTTTTGTTTGTCTGTTTGTTTTAACAGATGAAGGATTTAGGGCTTAGAAAGGGTACTTGATTTTCCCGAGAGTCCCTAAGGAGCAGAGGGAGTGTAGGCAAAGGCGGGACAAACGAGACTCTCCATAGAAGGAAGCCCTAAGAAGGCAGGGGCAGTGAAGTCAGGAGCGATGGAAGGGAGAGAGGGGTCTGCTCATCAAGGAAAACTTTCCCAGGTTCTTTAGGGATAACACTCCAATGCCGAGTTCATGGTTTCAGAGTTCGAGGAGTTTGGGTTTGGCAGCTTGAGGGTTTTCGTTGGCCAGGGCTGCGAGACCGTCTCCAGTGACACCCTGCCTCAGTGCAGAGGTTCAGCGCAGGTCTCACCCTGCAGCTGCTCCAAGCTCAGCCTTGGGAACAAATGCCCTCACTTAGACACACCATAAACAAGGCAGAGCTTTAAAATATGCAGAAACACCGCACCCAAGAAAGGTTTCTGAGAAAAGAGCGCTCCCTGTACACATACTGTTGCATACGAGTATGCCTCCTTAAATTCTTACAATAAAACCTTGAAAAGATGTATGTTCTTTCCACACTGCAGAGCAGACTGGTGTGAGCTGGTCTCCTGTAACATCGCACAAGCCAGACCTCCTTGCTTGGGGTCTGACACTTGCCGGCTTCACCCGTACGTGCAGCACAGATGCCTGGATCTACCCACCGTGGCTGGGAACAGTGGTGTGTCTGCCACTAGGACCACAGTGTAAGGACTGGCTTTAATGCCAGATTACTATTAGAATTTCTAACACAGGGCTCCCAAAGAGTCTTGGCTCATTAAACAGCTGAGAGACAGGTCTGCATGGACTTCGTCTTGGTGAAGCAGTACTAGTTGGTCACCTGTACGCCCAGCTCCGGGAACCTGGGGTGATAAGCTTCCACCTGTAAATGCCTCATAATCAGCCTTGAAAGATTTGGGAACATTAAAAGGAAGGTCAACATGTTCAGGTCTGGGCATTAGGGGTGAAACTGTGGTTAAAGTGGATAATATTTTCACGTATTTGTAAGCTTTTTTACCTAAATCTATAAAATCAAAGATGAATCCATATAGCAAAGAGCTTGGAAAACACTTCCACCTGTGTTTGTACTATTTCCAGGCACAAATAGCTCTTATTCTTCAGGCACCAGTATGAAATTACTTGCTTTGCTCAAACTCAGGCAAGACATGCGTGAATACATGTTTCTGTATTTCAGATCCTTGGATAACTATTACTGCTTTTGCCTTTAGTGCATTTTCATTTTTCTTAAAGTAATAATTTTGACACAGATAGCTTCACACTATAAAAAGCCCTTTTGGGAGATCAAGTCTTTCAGCTTATTAAACGCTGGCTCCCTTTGCTGATGGCAGGGAAACCCTTGATGGTCCTTGATGGTGGATGTGTCCTCAGTGCCCACCACGGCGTCCAGTACTGAGGGCTTTCTCAAAAGGCATTCCTGCCTGAGAAATGCAACGGACGGACCCTGCCTGCTTTTCCTGCCCTCCGGCTCCTACTGTGGCTCAGAGGCGGCTCCTGGTGACCATCACACAGACGGTTCCCTCCAGTGTTCACACGCCCAAAGTCATGCACTTTACCAGCCAGCCCACAGGAACACTGGCCACGTGGCTGTCTCTGCTGCAGGAAATGCATTTTCACTCGGGGTCTAGGAGGTGCAAGCACCCACAGCTGGTGCAAGCTGTTGTAAAGGAGGGGTCTTCACCTCCTGATTTTCATGCCCAAAATTCTCCCACCAGCCCCCACGGTGAGGAGCTCACCTTGTAGACGTGCCGGGAATCGGGCGGCCTGTGTCCACCAGCACGCACCAGCAGTACCCAGTGGAGGGGTGGCACTGCACGGGCTTGTACAGACCACCGTGCGCACACTCCGGGATCACCACGTTGTCGTTCTTTGGCTGCTTGGCCTCTTCCAGGGCTGACTGGTGCTCCTGGTCACATGACGATGCTAGAGAGAAGGACATAGAGAGTGTGGGTGGGTCAGCATACAGCCAGGTAAGGAGACATGTGGAGCACACTGAAGGGAACAAGGTGGGTGGGTCAGCACACAGCCAGGTAAGGAGACAGGTGGAGCACACTGAAGGGTACAAGGTGGGTGGGTCAGCACACAGCCAGGTAAGG